CGCACGGCCAATTTACTCTCGGGAGCCATCTTAACAGCCTGCAAGTTCGCTGAAAGTTTTCGTTTTTAATTTTTGTTTATCCTGCAACGCCTCGCTTTTATGACTAGGTACCAGTTTTTTCCCGCGTGTCAGCCATTTGTGAGTAGGTTGTATAAAGTCTTTCTTGAAGGAACAAAATCTTTGCTTGTTCATTACTTCAGGTAATGATCATGTCTTCTGAGAATTTCACGCGTGATTTCGGTCCAAGTAGTTGCTGACTCATAGCTATTAATATGATAATGAGTACAACGCGGCAGACAAGCATCCTGTGTCTTCGAGAAAGTTACGCTATGTTAATTCTTTCCTCTTCCATTTGATTATGCTAATATAATCTGAGAATTTCTGAGAATTTCACGCGTGATTTCGGTCCAAGTAGTTGCTGACTCATAGCTATTAATATGATAATGAGTACAAGGCGGCAGACAAGCATCCTGTGTCTTCGAGAAAGTTACGCTATGTTAATTCTTTCCTGTTCCATTTGATTATGCTAATATTCAAACGCATTTCAATTTGAAACAACATATTGTTTGTATATAAAGAGGTTCAGAAAGTTTAAATTTTTGATAAAAATTACACTTTTACTCAATTTTTACAAGAACGTCAAAGAAGCGTAATATGTTGTATTTGCAATTTTCTGCGACTAGACATGCATGGCGGAGACTGTCGCGTAAAATGGCGATTAAAGAAGCCAATCAGTGCAGTTTTTTTCACATTGAGAAAACGACCATTAAAGGAGTACCGATCCATCAAAATTGCTCACAAATAGAGCGCCTTAGAGAATTTAGTTGAATTAGTGAACTTGCGAAGTTTACCACTGATTATTATGTGCGAGCGTTTCTCTCAGGGGCACAATCGCGAAAGAATGGATTACGAAACAGTCGGGTTACCTTTTATGGTATTAAACTGCGTGTTGGAGAGTAAAGACAATGAAAGCATGACACGCGGGGGGGCGGGGGGGGGGGGGGGGAAGCTGTTGGAAAAAGGTAGCGCTAATTCTGTTGTAGACCTTCCAGAAAAACGGCTACATAGAACTATTTTTTCCATGAAATTCGACAATTGGCCATGAAATTCAGCGAGGAGTGTGAGCAAACAATAAAGAGATCATAAGAACGTAACCAAGATTTCGAAAGGCACTTGCGATTATAGCCTGCGTTGCAGCCGGCCCACGCATCGTCTACACTGTAAAAACTGACCAGTTATAGTGACCTCAAAAAAATGGTTAAGGTTTGAATCCCAGGTAACCGTATTTTATTAGGTTACAGTAACCAAAAAAATATAGTTCAGGTTAACCATTTTTTATTCCCGTTGAAATAACTTTTCTTTATGGGTTATATTAACCCTTAAAAATGGTTGTTTCTACCACAGCCCACGCCACTTTTTATGACTTGTTTGTCATAACCTCTACTTTTTGGTTAAACTAACTTTGAATTTTTAGTTGTTATAACCGAAATAAAAAGATAAATATGTTTCAACCTATACAGATAAGTTATAATAACCATTTTTTGTGGTCATGGTAAACCAGTTTTTTGGGTACTAGCGATGAATCTGTGGTAACCCATTTAAAATAGTTAAGAGGTGGTAGCTTTAACCATTCCATATGGGTTAGAAGAAAACGGTTGTTTTAACTGATAATAATGAATTACATTAACCTCACAATAATAGTCTTCAGCAACATTTTTAATGGTTATGTTAACCGTTCTCTACAAACAACAACAACAACATAGTTGACCACTAACTTCATAAAAAAGATAATCATACAACATTGCAAGTAAAAAATGCTTATGTTTCTTAATACAAGTATTTAAAGCAGAACAAGGAATGATTAAACAATCAGCCCTGCTTCCTAAACTATAGCAAATTTAAACTGGAATACTGCATGTCTCTCACAAGACTCCAAAACAAGACTTTGTACACTGGCATATGATTGTAAAACAGAAACATCCTTAAGCAGAAAAAATTCAAGTAACTGCAGGATCAATAGTGATACAGTACTTAGATTAAATTAAACCCTTAAGGTATAAGTGCCTTTCCTGCCAAAACTGCTTTGTCAAATACATAGGGAACTAAGAATTTCGTGAGATTCAATGATATAATAATTGTAAGATCTTGCCAGTGAAGAGTCAACTCCTCACCCACTGTACATGTAACTTTCTTTCTTTGGCTAATGATTGAAGCTGAGCATATGATCTAAAAGTACCACAAACCACGTTTTTCTACTAGAAAGTAAAAAAGAATCTATTCCAAGCAGTGGTTCGTTGAGGGTAACTCATCCGCCGGATCAGGACTTGTCTTGCTTGTAATGAAAATATGGGTACTCGCCGAACTTCATTCAAAGTTGTTTATTCCCTCAGTCGTTCAAATTTAGTGATATTTCTGAAATAAACGAAAATATTTCGTTTTTAAGTTCACTGGTTAACGCACGAAAAATTACAGTCTTTCAGCGATACGCCTGTGGGGAACACGCACGCACGCGTGTGCGTGGTCATCGTGAGCAACGCGCGACTCAAAGCTACATTTAAAAAAAAGCTTTGTAATAGCGTATGATAGCTCTGTAACAGCAGTACAATATTGAAATTAAGATGGTCATCCGAAGACCGGAAAATCTATGCAACTGAACTGAACATTTAGAAAACTTTAAAGGGCCACGCAAGTGAGTGGGGTTGTCTCAAAACGCGTCTATTTATTTGCAAAAAGACAATTTTAAAAACGATTTAGAGTTCTGTTTAAAAATAAGCAATACATACCGGTCATGCTGTTTCAGTGAAGGTCGGTGAAGCAAGTCTTCGAGATTTTGCCTGTGTTTATTTGTCTTTAGTCGACGGGGCAGATATTTTGCTTATCTATTTCAAGCGGTCAACTGAAGTAAATTCTGTCATGATCTTCTTATCATCCTCCTTTGAATAAAAGATTTGCAAGGTATTCGTTAGCTAAGAATTTTGTAGAAGCAGTGAAGACTGAAATTCAAGTGAGTAATCTATTCTGAAGACGTTGTCTTCCGACTACCCTGTGAGCAGAGTCTCCTTCGATCTTCCTAGATAAGAAGATCGAAGGAGACTCTGCTCGCAGGGTATCTTCGGACTTGCATAAATTTGAAATCACATTACCTTTTTACTTGCCACATCTCCATTGCTGTCGGTGACTAAGAAACGAGCTCCCATTGACTTTTAACTGAGGGGCTTTATCCAGGCGAAATACAAAATGTTTCTTTTCGCAGCAATGAACCAAGAGTACTGACTTCAGCTTGACGCAAGGCGGTTAGACTAAGAAACTGAACTATGAGAGCCGAATTTGGCATTGATTTTGAAATTCCAAGTCTCTCATTGGCTAGCTTAGTAGATTAACGTCAAGGTGTTAAGCGACATACTACAGTTGACAGGAAACAATGCAACATTTTCTAAAAACCCTTAGTTGTTTTTCGAGTAAACTCAGTAAACTCGCCTCACATGTTTCCAACCATGAAATAGTTTAAGCTTATAAAAAGGTTACTGAGTAAGATTTTTAATTTACTGAGAACATTTAACGCCATTTAGGGCTCGTGACGTGACGAAATAGAGTTACTTTAGGTCACTTAAGACAAATACCGGAAACCCGCTGGAATTTTGTGACCGGTGAAAAACACGGAAGTATTTTTTGTGAAAACACGCGAGGATAGCTGTTGGCTTTTCGAGGTGCTCAGCATTGATTTGAATGACATAACCTGTACAGGATATCTTGAAGAATCATTTCACCTAGATGACGATTAGTTCTCTCGGCTAGTCCGTCGAGGGAAACGTCAGAGAAGAAAATAGTCCTCGCGTCACGCGACTTCGCCTCTCGCGCGCGCGTACCAGCCCAGTATTGAAGCAAGACTCGCGAGTTGGATGCAAGTCATTTAAAATATTTTAACTGTTGGGGAAAGTTGATTTGGCTATTCAGTCTTAACCTATTCAGTCTTAACCTTCAGCGTAAGGGAAAAGTCTGCGTTGAAGGTTGGGTACAAGGCTTTGATGATCTGTTGTTGTAAACTCATACCCGCCGTTTGTGTCGCGGCCATTTCCTTCTGTGGTTTTCCGTTCAGTTTAACCCCTCGGAAAAGTCAGTTTTGACCATTCAGTGTTTAACCTACTTCATAGCTCTAAATAACAGATCATTATTGGTTAGTCATGACCAACAAATAGTTAATAAAAGATTTTAACCAATTGATTTCAGGTTAGATGCACATTTTCACCATTTGCTTAACCATTTGATTTCGTTATTTTGACTGCCATGAAAAGTTATTTTGACCAGTCGATATTCTAACGGAATTATAACCGTCACAACAACTGCTGATCATTGGTTAATCTAACCAATAACATAAAGGTTACGATTTTAACTAGTTTATTTTAGGTTAACATTACCTTTTGCAACTGGTTATAACCTTTTAATATAGTTACCATAACTGGTCTGTTTTTAGAGTGTAGACCATTTGGGCTCTATACCGACGGTTTAGAGCCGGTGTTTGCGACGCATTACACAACAGACATTGGAGTCGCACTGAAAATTGGCAATGACTTTTTGAGGGTTATTGTTATGTAATGACCTAAATGAAAACACGTTTATCAAGGCCTCCAAAACGATGATTGCATGAGTAAGTAAGCTAAAAAGTTTAGACAATAAGACTTTACTTTAGCACTTAGCCAGCTTGTGAATTTTCAGGCGAAAAAAACGATAAAAGGAACAAAAGAAGAAAACGCTGATTTTCTCTAAATTACCAAATCGTCACTTCATGCTTTCTTGCACGCATGCACCCTGTCATTGTTATTATTGAAGATCTTGCAAACGGTAATGCAAATAAGATCAGCACTTTCGCTTTCGAATTATACTGGATGTGACATGTGATATAGACCCTAACTATAAATATTTTATGTTCTGTTGCTAATTGAAGAGATATTTTAAATCTAAGGGTTGTTAGCAGTCATGCCAGCACTCGCTAAATAGTGACCTTAGCAATATTCGTCCAAAATTGCCATGATTGAACTATCAGCGTTTGCTTCACAAACAGCTTTCAGTTTCCACGTTATGGCACGGAAGTCGACTTCTTTCGACAACAAAAAAGTGTTTTGTATTATCTTTGTCTGTTCCTCAGGTGTAAACACGTCAAGAACTATTTCCTTCAGAGGTGTCAGTAACGGTTCCAAGGAGTACGCACGGCTAGCTTCGTTATTCAGTACTTGGCTTTTTCCCCAAATATTTGTCATAACATGGCACGTTCTCATCAGTTTGTCACTTAGTTCGATGGACCTTCGTTGAGCCCTTTGGAGATCTTGCAGTTGACGCTCTTGATCTCTTAGTCGCTGCTCTGTTATCTGCTTCTCCTCTTTTTCACTCATTAATTTTAGGCGAAGTTTTTCCTTCTTACATCTTTTTGCCCCTAACCTGTTTTCACAATCTTTCACGTTGTCTTCAGCAGAGCTCACGCCAGTTTGGGCACACTTGACATTATCTTCGAGTGCTGTAAAGCTTACCACTACCATGGCTGGCCCAGCAATCCAACCAATTATGGGAATAGGTGTTATTCCGATTCCTATGCCTCTTACAAGGTCTCGTTCTCTTCTTCTGTCACTCAACTCTCTTTCAGCATCGTTAAGTTTATCGTGGGCATTACTGAGTGCATTTTTCGCTTGCTGAACATAGTGTTCGCTGTCTGTAATTTGTTGGTTCAAACCCTGAAGTTGTTGATTCATCTGTTGTACATTCATTTTGCTTTTAGAAACAGTGTTCTTTAAGCTGCTAATTGAGGAGATTAGTCTCTCGGTTTCTTCACATTGGCGTGCCTTTTCGCCTTCCCAAAAATTCAATACTGCGGTTAAGCGTGTGTGGGCCTGACGTATTGGAAGACGCAAATTCTGGGCAATTACTTTCACAGTCCTCGCCGGTGTAGTTGTATTGATCTCAGCTTGATAGAGAACTTTTACTGCCCTGTCTAGACATTGTAGTCCTGTAACAAATTCTTTCTGCGCTTCGTCTTTGTACAAAATAATAGAATGACCAGACGCAACCTTACCGAGGAAATAAAGGAAGATGCAAAGGATTAACCATAATGCAAACTTATGAAGGAAATAAAGGGAGATGCAAAGGATTAACGATAAGAGGACGTAGAAAAAACCAGACATTGCCATGACCAAGAACAGGAGTAATTGAAGTCAAATTAGTAGCGGTATCAGGGAAAATGTTTTACAGTCTGTTGAACAACCATATATTGTTAAGTACAGTATGTGCGAGCGAACGTATGTGGGGTTTGTTCACAACAAAAATCATCTAAGGTCACGTGAAATTACACGTGAAATCTGACGCTCAAAAGGTTCTCGGTGAATGAACTTCGACCAACATCCTTATTTGGGTATAAACATCACCTTTATTTGCAAAGGGTTTTTTCCCTGGAAACAAAACACATTCGGGGAAATCTAATACTTACGTCATGTTATTTCTTCGGAAATATAAATTAAAATAGTTGAACGAAGTAGCTCACTTTGTTGAAGCCTTCTGTACTGTTAGTGTATGTTGATGTGGATATTTTGTTCAAGGAACTGCAGGTAAGGATTAATGTAAACTGGACGTTGTTAAATTGGGATAACATTAGGTATATATAGGTTAGGAAGTAAGAACGGCAACGTCATGAAAAAAATATTTCTACCCCTGTAGCACACAAAATCAAAAATTACTTATCCTTTATATGGTTCTTAAGCGGAATATCTACCCCTCTGTATTACAAGTCTAAACTAGCATAAGCCAGTGAATTCACACAGAAAGATCTGAACCGAATTCACGTACTGTGAGGTTTGCCGCGGCAATGAACGTGAAAACGATCTAAGCTCAAAAAAAGTCGGGTTTCAGAACAAGAACGGCGAGGCTTAGAATGTTTTAGAGAATACAACTTGTACTCGCCTTTGTCTTACCGTTGAAATGCTTTTGTTGATTAACATGTTTTCGTTAACGTTTCCGTTGTGTTTCCCACACTCTCAATTCATAGCCGCAACTGCAAACCATGCTCTACCCAGACTAAAGACTGTGGCATGTGCACACCCGTACTGCTTGTAACACGTTCACCTCTACTTTACCACGAAATTTCACACAACATGGTCCAGTTTATCGCAATCTTAGGCGAGTCGGAGATACACCATTAATTTTGGATCATGCTTTGAAATGCATACTCAGGTGCCCAGTGTATGTTAAGTTTCAGGGAAACCAAAGATCTCTGATTCTGAAGGATACTCTAATTAAAGATGAAATTGCATTATTTCCCGTCTAGTTTGACCGCAACTGCACTTATACATTTGCCAAAGTTCATTGTCGTATTCATCCGAACTTTACCCATTACTACAAATATAAAATATGTTCATCGTTTGCTTTTTATTACGCGGGGTGACGTAGTCAGCCAGCGTCTAAAATTCGGTAGCGCATTCCTTTCGTCGTCTTGGGAGTCAAAAATTGCCTTGTTTTTTTAACTTTCCCGTATCCCGTGCCCGTCCCGAGAAATTGTGTGGATTTTTATTGGCCCCAATAAGCACGTGCAAGTCAGGCTGGATTGCACAAGCCGATAAAACATACTGCGTCAGCTAAGGAGGGAAAAGTAAGCTAACTGTGTAGAGGAGGACGAAGACTCAAGGCCGTGCTCTTAATACGGCGCAAAACTTGGCCTCGGGCGACTGAAAATATTGTCTAGGTGGCCCAGCCGGGCGACTTGCTTGTGTTGGTTTCTTGTTTCTGATGAGTTACAGTCAAAAAGCTAAGAATGTCTAGAATTTATTACTTGCGAAATCGTAGCTCTCTCGGTGGCTTCGCGGCCTAAAAAGAACGCTCCTCTCGCTAAGAAACTCTTGAGGTCGACTCTGTAAGTAGCAATAAGTAGCATGTCTATCAAAAAGCTTTAGGAAAATGTTGTTAAATCGGGCAGCTGGCACGCGTTGATGTTCAGAGGTCGTTTCACGTGAATTCACATGTAACATAATCCTTGACTATGAACGTGACAAGCTGCACAGTTTTCGATAGTAACAGCTTTTCATAGTAACATTGAAATTTTTTCTTCAAATTAGGATTGTTCATTAGTTAGTTTTTCAAAACAAGTTGTTACTTTTGCTCTGACAGGCGTGAAGTACGGTCGGCGACGCAAAACAATAGTTTTGTATTTTGAAAAATCGCTGAATAAACAAGGGAGTCGGTCTTCTATGTTCTTTAAATATTTTTACCTTTTTTGACTGCTGTTTCTGCGAGGATAAAACATAACTAAGATTGTTATTCCAAAACAAGAAGACGAAAGAAAAGAGACGACTATTATAATTGTGATTGTTCTAGAATCGGGTGTAAAGGGGGTATAAATCTATAAAATCCCGCATTGTCTTTCGTGTCGTGACAAGGCATTATGTATCACGTACTAAAAATAAATACGCAAAAGCTAACCGAATCTACATTTGTCCTGAACATTTCACCGATAATATAGAAAGAAAATACTTCTGTTTTGCGCTTAAAAGACGACTTTACAACAAGATGATCTATTCAAAAGAGATAATAGTTTTGGGGCGGCCCCCGGTGGGGGGGGCACTTCCTTATAAAGAGGCTAATAGGGATGTGCCGCTGGATGGGGTCGCATTTTCACGACTAGATTGAACATTAATGGGGTTGCATTTTCAAAAGAGTTACTAGAATGGGGTCGCACATTTTCGGATTTTTGGGGTAAGAGAGCTGTTCATATTTACGGTTAGCAAACCTATCAGGATATTTGTACTGTAGGTGAAAAGTAAAGTGTTCTTCATTCAATTTATTAAAAAAATAGGTCAATTCATTTCTTGATGACCTATTTAAAGGATTGATAAGGTAGATACATAAATAGAAAGTGACTAACTTGGGATCGCAAAAATTACATATTTCCCCAAGAGTGACTAATATGGGGTCTACAATATTGACCACAGAAAAGACTATAATGGGGTAGGGGTTCTGAGAGGCCAGCGGCACATACCCAGCAAAAATTAACGCAAGTAACCCCCCGGGGGGGGGGGGGGCCGCGGTTTCGTTGAAATCATAACAGTTTTCCTGGAAAGCTCCACGCGATCTCAGTCAATCTTAACAAGCAAATTTTCTTTTCAACCTAAACAGGAGCTCCTGACCTAAATCAAAATGATTAGTAAAAAGAATAGTGCCCTTATTTTTGACCCCAAATTTATTTTTCTATTTAAAAAACATGAAATGTTCGGCGGCGTTGTCCATGTTTCTCATATGGCGCGAAAACTTACTTTCATATGACAACATGCGGGTTTTTTTTTTTTCGCACGCTCAGGAGGTCAAAGGGATGTGATTTTTCATGAAAAAAATGTTCACAAAATTCTGCTTGACTTGTTAAGAAAATAATTTGTTTAATGTTTAATAATTAACTAACAGCTCATTGATTTATTAATTTGAGCGATCAACTTAGAGGCCCGGGTACCCCAGCTAAAAATGCTTGGGGAGCCTAAAGGGCTCTCTGAAATTTTCCCTAGAGCACTTCCTTGCAGCCCTGTAGTTATTGGAAGTATGATACATTACACGCTATTGTTAAATGTGGAAGTGCATTTTTTGAGGACATTAGTAAAGGAATGCAAATTTTAGTGAACTACCCCATACTCCTAACATATATGGTGGTAATATTGATGTAAGTTTTGTTTTGAGTAGCAAAGGAACCCTTGTGTGTAACTCATCTTCTAGTGTATTAGTCCTTAACAGAACATCTCCGTCTCTCCTGCACACATTTGTTGCATACACTACTCAACTTCCATTTCCATCCAACATACCCGTAATTCTTTCTGAAACCCACACATCCCGCGTAAGCGCCTTCGGGCGTCTTCTTGTTTACATTCATCCCTTCGGATCGTTTTTGTTGCTTACATGATTTACAATGTTTGAGCGCGCCTTCAAAGCTATGAACAAATTTACTTCTATTTATTGAAGCAAACGACATGTTGTGAAGTTTTTAAAATATCCAAAGATTCTGTATTTTTTTGTTTTGAACTGCTAAATTCTATAGTTGTATTTTATTCCGACACAGCAGAGACAACGAAAATTTGGTTGACACAAGCGAGGTTAGAACTCTTACCTTGGGGTATCTATACCGCTAAATTCTAGTTGCAGTATAAGGTTTAATTTGTAAACAGCATATTGATTCTTGTTAAACTTTCTTTAAATTTCGTGGTAAATTATTACATCTTGACCTTAGTGGTACGTTTGCAAACGACTGTTTCCGAGGAGCCACATGGCCAGCTATTCGGAACCTTGCCCCCCGCGACGCATCACTGATCATGCAGTCATACGCTGGGTGTTACGAAAACCCTCGAAAACTAAGATTTAAGACCCGTTTTAGTTTTCGAAAACTAAGACCCCCTAAAATCGAATTTGTTGAAATATGAAGTCAAACTGTAACCGAAATAGGTCTAATCTGTCAAATTATCTTCTGTCCGATTCTTTTCTCCGAGTTTTGGGTCAAATTTAACGGTAAATTTAGGGATCTTAGTTTTCGTAATTTCGAAAACAAAGATCCCCCCAAAAAACAATCCGTTGAGCTAACTTTTACTCATCCTATTACATTATTTTGTCATATTTGTTTAAAAACAGTATTCAAAGGAACATGAACAGAAGAGGTGAGAAACGTGTAGGCGCCGGGCGGGAGAAATCGCCTTCGTTTACCAAAATAGCAAGAGAAATGAATCAGTAACGTTGACGAGCAAATAATACTTATATATATTTGGAAAATGGATGAAAAAGGTTACATATATTTGGAAAATCAAGCGTTCTCGACCGTGAACCTTCCACACAGTGCAACCACTCAGACTTCGTTCAATTTCTCACCTCTTCTGATGTTGTTGTTCGAATTCGCAAGAATTCGCCGATGTTTGGCTTCTCTGGAAAAATCCGTCGGTGAATTCTCAATGGTATAATATATAGACTTAGCCAGGGCTAAAAGCGAAGCTCCTATTAACTCGAATTTATAATTTAAATCAAACAATAAACTTTTATTCCACAATTCAGTTAGCTTTAGAGCACATTCATGTGACTTTTGAGGGAAAGGTTAAGTGATTTTAGAGAAAAATAATTTGCAAACAGTCCAAGCTAAGAGTGAACTTAATCTTACATCGAGTTGATAGCCTTATATGTACACCCAAAAATTAGCAATCATCTCTGATCACATTTAAGAGCGACAAAGGCTCTTGATCACAGTATCTTTAGGCCTGGCAAACAAATTCCTGGAAAACAAATCAGGCCGAGTTTTTTGCGTTCGACAAGTTTACTTTACAAAATCTTGCCAACAAGTCTAGGACGTGTAAACCATCCTTTTATACTTTTTATACATCACATCTGAGGTGAAACAGTACCATGAGGCGCTGTTTTTATCATACAGACCTCGGACAGAGTGCAGTATTTCACAATTTTGCAATACAAATATTGCACTCATTCAGTATTCAGGACGATCGAAGCACGCGTGGGCTTTTAGCGAAACCGTTAAGAAAATTCCAAAATCACCTATAGACCTATACGGCTAGCCAGTTCTCACTTTTGACAAGCGCTAAAGTCGACTGTTTAAATTAAGATTAATAGAGTTGTACGCTTTAACATAATAAAGAATTTATTATGTTTATTTTTTATTTAATGGTTTTATAACGATGTGTAATCTTCAAAAGCGTTTGATACGCGAGGCATTTTGACTACTGCATGCAAGCGATGTTTATGAGCGACTGAAAACAAACGGTACAGCGATTAAAATTGCAACAGAGACTACTAACAATCAATAAAAGGAAACTAATTCAGTGAAACATATACAGAGACAACAATTTTCATTCACCAAGACAAGTATTAAAGTGTCTCTGAAAATCCTTGTTGTTTCATTTCCACTTTTGAAGATTTAAATCAAGTACTTGCAAGATTTCATAAGATTCTACTTTTTCTTAACCTAACGCAATAATGCAGTATTTGGCAAAATGTAAGCAATGAAAGTTAAATTGCGACGAAAGACGTTCCACTGTTTCAAAATTTAGCGCAAATAGGTCATTTTTTACCAAATTTCTTGTATTTTTTTGTTGAAAATATGATCAAAATCATCCGTTTTTGCAAGAAATGCTACTTTGGAATATCAAGTTTAACTTTGGAACGTGTTGGTCTCCCGCTAAGTTGCCCAAGCACGGAGACTTGTAAACATGTATAAATTTCACATTTTAAAGAGTTTTTATAATACAGAAAAATATGTAATAACATGTGTTTGTACATACTGACACAATCCTTAAACAAATAGTGACTGAATAGCTTTTAAAATCTATTGACTGCATCAGGCTTTGTAATTACAAACATGCCATTTTCAGTTTCAATCCTGTTATAAGACATTCTATGACTCATACCAATAGGAGATATATATGCAAATTTGCAGTATTGCTTGAATAAAGGTGCTCAATTTTATCAATAAAGAGGACACAAGTCAATCCTTGTACACAAATACTCTCTACTTTATTTACTTGTCTTCATGTGATGATAAATACAGATTTCAAACAAAAGGAAATGCAGACTTGTTGCCAACAGAGAACTAAGTCCTTGAAAAGATGACCCCCTCAACTTCTCTTATTATTCCTACCAAGTGAAGGTCTTGCTGAATGACAAAAGAAAGTAAGCCTACTGTGTTTAAATTCAACTGTACCGTGGCCAGGTATTCTGAAGAAGCTCTTACTATTTTAGGAGTATATCAGCCAGGTTCACGGTTAAGTGCATCGGCTCATTAATTAAATTACCTTTTTCCAATTAATTCTATAGGTCAACAATCCACTCACATGTATCTCAGCGATCTCAGAGTGTATTTCAAAGTAGAATTGTATTTCAGAGTAACGTGAAGTAAGATGGAGGAGTAATAAAATCTCCGAAAAGATTAGTGGATTATGCCAGCACTATACCGACGTTGAATTTATTGCTGACCCAAAGGTTTTATTCCATGGTTGATTAATTTACTGTTAACATCTATTTGCAAATATTTAAGTTGATGATGTGCAAGTAACAGCCAGGGGATTTTGCAGATTGGTTCTTTGACAACATTATGACATGATCATATTGCTTGCATAGACGATACAGCATGTCCTGGCAGAAAAACAGCATTTTGATAAATGAGCATGCGCTGAACCGTGAACCTGTCCCTTTAAGCAATCGTAGTACGGGCACTAACTGAGTTTAGTAGCTTGAATTACTCTTCTGTGGTCGATTTACTGAAGTCCTAGGGCGTTCAGCAAACACCTCAAGAACCGAGAGTTGTCAAACCATGGGCGCATTAAGTTGCACATTGAATGTACTCGCAGCTAATTTGCATAACAGGTTTTGAGTGGCTCAAAGTTCGTCATGCAAACTACAAATCATGCCTTCAAAGCAAAGGTAAATAATTTTTTGCGGGTAAGGTGTATTCTTCACAAGACTTGATTCATTTTCATCTCCCTCCCAGAAATCATGTGATGCTAATTGCTAAGATGTGAATTAGTATTTTCCTTTTATCTTAAGGGCCTATTCCAGTGATTATTTAGCTTAATTTGTAATTGTGCCACTAAAGCACTCTTGTTGAGACGTTGTTATGACTTGTTGCCAGCAGAACTTAATGAAGTCTAAAAAAGAAATGACATTTTGAATTCTAGCTAACAGTCTAACACCACTAATTATGGGTGAGGATAATATTTCCGTCGATCTACGATTAGTCAAACTACCACAATTACCCAGACATATTAATAAACACATTTTATAAGTTTTCCATGTAAGGGTCTTAGCTAAATCTGTAAGATTCTTTCTTGTCTCTCTTAAATTCATACACGCACCATACCAATAGGTAAATTCATATTTTAGAGTTCTCCGTCTACGTACACGTCTCAATATACGAATTCGGCTGATCTGGCAAAACGAAAACACACATTCTTAAACTTAGTTTATATCTGGATCAATCTGTTTTATTTAGATTAATTATCTCGATTATTTCATATTCTCTTTGTCTATAAACATAAACTAAAGTTTCACACAGATTCACTGAGGAATATAAAGATACTGGATGTGACAAGTGTTATAGAACGTATTGAACTATCAGCATTTGCGTCACAAACAGCTTTCAGTTTCCACGTTATGGAGGAGAAGTCGATTTCTTTCGACAATAAAAAAGTGTTTTGTTTTATCTCTTTCTGTTCCTCAGGTGTAAACGTGTCAACTATTTCCTTAATAGGTGTCAGTAACGGTTCCAAGGAGTACGCACGGCGAGCTTCGTTATTTAGTTCTTGGCTTTTCCCCCAAATTTTTGTCATTACATGGCACGTTCTCATCAGTTTATCATTTAGTTCGATGGACCTTTGTTGGGCCATTTGGAGATCTTGCAATTGACGCTCTTGATCTCGTAATCGCTGCCCTGTTATTTGCTTCTCCTTTTCTTCACTCTTCAGTTGTTGGCAAAGATTATTTTTCTCACTTTTTTTTTTCTCTCTTTCAGCATTGTTAAGTGTGTCCTGGGCATTACTGAGTGCTTTTTTCGCTTGTTCAACATTTTGTTCGCTGTCTTTAATTTGTTGGTTCAGACCCTGAAGTTGTTGATTCATCTGTTCTACTTTCATTTTCCTCTCAGAAACATTGATCTTTAAGCTGCTAATGGAGAAGATTAGTCTCTCAGTTTCCTCACACTGGCGTGCCTTTTCGAGTTCCCAAAAATTTAATGCTGTGTTTAAGTGTGTGTGAGCCTGACGTATTGGGAGACGCAAATTCTGGGCAATTGCTTTCACAGTCTTCGCCGGTGTAGTTGTATTGATCTCAGCTTTACAGAGAACTCCAACTGCTTTGTCTAGCCATTGTATTCCTGTAACAAATTCTTTCTGTGCTTCGTCTTTCTACAAAAGAATAGAGTAACCAGACGCAAACGTGGACATTGCCATGACCAAAAACAGGAGTATCAGAAGTCAAATTAGCAGTGGTATATATATCAGGGAA